CTGTACCTAAGCGAGGCGCTCGTAGCGACCACTGTCGGGTGAGTCAGACTAGTAGTCTTCTCAAAGCTGGTTGAAGCATAGCTGAACGTCCGCTTTGCCCCTCGGCCCTCCCTTGGTGCTCTTAGTATCATCGTCGGACCTTATGTACTCAACTGGTTCGACCCTTATTCTTGGTCGAGCAGTGCCGAACGCACCAATGAGATCACCTACCAGTTCACTCGCCTCGTCATAGGTGTCCAAGTCCTCTTTGCCGGCATTAGTCTACCCGCAGCCTACCTTCGCAAGGAGGTGCTGTCGTTATTCACCTTACTAGGAGGTGTCATGACAGTTGCATGGTGCGTGACACTCGACACTGCCGAAGAATCGCGCTGCAATTGCAACTGACGGCAGAGTCCTGCCTCTTTCGATCTCAGGTTCGTAACTGCAGGCATTCTATATGCTCTATTCAGGCCGCTCAGCTACTTGGAAGCCTTGTGCTTAGCTGCCGCGGTCACACCAACGGACCCAGTGCTCGCAAACTCCATATCTAGCGGGCGCTACGCAGAGAAGCATGTCCCGCAAGCTATTCGCAACATCATCGTAGCCGAATCTGGGGCCAACGACGGGCTCGGGTTTCCTTTTCTGTATTTGGCTCTCTACTTGCTGCGTAGGACATCGGTAGATTCTGGCGGAAGCATCGGCGATGAGATCTGGCGCTGGTTCTACAGCGTTGTCATTTACCAGATTCTGCTATCGTGCGTTTATGGTGCTTTGTTGGGGTACCTTGGCCGCAAGACGCTCCGATGGGCAGAGGCGCACGGGTATGTGGATAAAGACACCTTCTTTGCGTATGGCCTGGGCTTGGCCCTCTTCGTCCTCGGCACGACGGGACTTTTCGGCAGCGACGATGTGCTCGCTTGCTTCATAGCCGGAAACAGCTTCACCTGGAATGATTGGTGAGTTGACATGGTATCGACGTGCGTTTGGTAGGGCGCACCTGCTCACCTGCCGTCGCTGTCACCGCAACTATCAGGTACCGCATTCGCACTCGCGAGCAAGAGATGGACTCTTGGCAAGACAACATTGATGCCTTGTTCTCGACAAGCGCCTTCATCTACATAGGCGCCATCATTCCTTGGGGGGACTACAGCACCGGCGGTTCGTCCTTGGGCATTGACCCTTGGAGAGTCGTCGTGATGGCTATTGCAGTCTTGCTGGTACGACGTCTGCCCGCAGTGTTGGCCATGTACAAGATCATCCCTGCTGTATCAGAGCTCAAAGAAGCACTATTTCTGGGCTGGTTCGGGCCCATCGGAGTCTCTGCGGTCTTCTACATCACCATCGCTCTCAAGCAGCTGCCGGACGACGGCTCACGAGATCGTCTTCGCGCGCTTTACACCCCCCTTACCCTATTCATGGTCTTTGCGAGCGTGCTTACGCACGGCACTTGCATACCACTCGCTAAGCTTGGACCCCGTATAGTCAAGCGAACCATGAGCGTCACCAAGACCGCGTCCAGGCCAGTCTCGAGACAGCCTACTGTGGCCGAGACTCTCAACGGTGCTTCATCTCCCAACTTGGCCAAGCCCGACAAGGGACAGACGCTGCCTCAAAAGGCCCCTCCT